TGTTTGTATTCAGGACTGTAATAACCATTGAGGACAAAGAGGTCATGTTTTCTTTATTTCTTTGCCTAAATTGTGATATTAAAAACAGAAAACTGAAACTGACTGTAGGACGATGATCTAAGACTCCCACAAAACTACAAGGTGTTTTATTTTGAAGAGCCAAGATTAGTCACTGGTTGATCATCTTTTTCCATATTAAGTAACACAGTAATGCACACCCAATATGAACATCAGCAACATTTTCTGGTTTTATATTGGTGATTTAAACCTTTAGGTGAACAGTTTATTTCACATGATTTCATCTAAATCAGGGATGTCAAACTGGTTCCAGAAAGGTCCGTGTGGCTGCAGGTTTTCTTTTCCAACCAAGCAATAGCACACCAGACTCCAGTAATCTCATTAAGTCAGTCCAATCTGAACATGATGACTTGATCAGATGAATGAAGTCTGGTGGGCTTTTGTTTGGTTGGAAAGAAATCCTGCAGCCACACGTCTCTTTCTGGAACCAGTTTGACACTCCTGATCTAAATGGTAGACGCTGTTGATTCCGTTTTTATTCATACAATTTCCTCTTTTTAACATTTCCCCTTGATGACCTGAGGCTGAGATGGATCATCATTGCAACATAGGCTTCCATCTTTTCTCAGGCTTACCTTCATAGAACCATTGCACCTATACTGCCTGACTGCCAAAAGCAGGTTAAATGTTCTGGTATTTCATTGCTTTCTGGAAAAATACTGATGATTTTCAGTGTTTGTTTGTCAGGAAGGGGAAACCAGTCTTCCTGCTACTCAGAAAACATTTGGAAAAGAACAAGAAACTCTCAATATATACATTTGAGAAAATTTACTTCCAAAAATGTATTTGGAACAACACTAGAAATTAAAACTATATCATAAATGTAGCTCTAAATGTGCCAGTAGAGCCAGATTGGACTAGTTTCTGTATCGTTCTTAGCACATAAACCCACAGATGTAAAAAGGCACCAGCATAGAAACAACGCTGCATGCAGAGACACACATCCTGCTCTAACTTGATCAGATGAATTAGATTTAAAAAAAAGAAGCACCTACAGGACCAGTACAGGTAGAAATCCTGTTATTTGGTCTGTTTCATAATAATGAGGACAACTCAAACACCTGTTACAACTGTCCCCCATTCCGACAGCTCTGATTAAACCACATGTGCTGTAAACTAGGTGACCTTCATAGAGCTAACCATATTAACTGAACCTATCACTCATCTAAACAGCACGGGTTGGAGCTGAACCACAAAAACAAAGTATAAAAATGAACAAGCTAATGCAGAGCAAACTGTTATGCATCCATCTTCTCCTGCTTATTCCATCAGGGTTGCAGTGGGGCCGGTGCCTTTCTCCAGTAGTCTAAGGTCAGAGTACCCTGGACAGGTCGCCTAACTGTCACAGGGATACAACCACCAACACAGACACTCACACCTAAGGACACTTTAGAGACGCCAATCGCCCTAACAGTCATGTTTATGTGGGATGAAGGCAGAGTACCCAGAGAGAACCCCCAGGCCAGGAACTGAATCTGGAACCTTCATGCTGCAAGGCAACAGTGCTGCAAACAGCACCTCTGCGCAGCCCTCTCTGATATCCTCTCTTAAGATGTTTTTAATATAATCCTGGAGCAGCTCTAGAAACTTTTTTTTCTCCTCTGGATGAGTGGAGCAGTTTCACATGCAGTATGTCATCACTCCTTTCCTCGTTTCTTTCCGATTGGGGAAACTGGGGTGGCCATTTTGCAGCCCCTGTTAAAACTGTCCTCCAACCCCTCTGCAAAAGTATAATTGTTAAGAGATGAGAATATGTGCACAAAACAACAAGGACGATGAGGTGCAATACTGGTTAGGATTGGTGTGCTGCTTAACTTTGGAAGAGATAACTAGTTGAAAGACTCTTAGAAAAAGTGGGATTACCTTCTTGTTATTTTGTGAACTACCTATTTCCTTTTTACATTAATTATCTTTTCATGTTTTTGCTTTTGAATTTGATAAAACATTTCCATAAAACACTGACATTCCACATGTATTAAACATATTTTAGATCTGTTACACATTATGAAAAGTTTGGTTCCAACAACTAATTAAATCAAAAAATGACCAAAGAACCTGCTGGTAATTATGATTTGTTTAAGTTCTTTAATTACGTAATCTGATGTAAACATTGTTGTTAAATGTTTCCTCACCAACGCAGCCAGTTGGTACAGAAATCCCTCAGCGGACGGCATTAAAACAAACTTCCTCAGTGGGAATACTGATATCAGGGATCATTATTCACAGTAAAAATGTAAAGTTTTAAAACCAAAGATTGTTCTATACATGTTATTCTGAGCTTAAAGACAACAGCTGATAATACAAGAACATCTCCTTAGGTTAAGAATTTAAATGCCTCCAATAAACAATAAGTCTGCCATGTAAGGCAGACTAGAATGATCATACCATCTAATTAGTGTATTACATTAAACCAGTACCATCCATTGAAAGATAAATCCTTAATTTTTTTTGCCATCTTTCTTCTGGGTTTGAATACTTAAAATGTGGAGAGCTACATTATCCACTCTTACCGCAACAAGGAGTTAACATCACAATTTAAATCGATCCAACAGGTTCATGAATTACAAGGAAAGTAATTGCTGCTATAGGCTTAGACTGCTGGAGGACATAGGGACCCCTTTTTCATCATTCTATCTCTATTCTCTCACTCTACAGAATTTGTTTTTTCAATCTCTAACATTATGCTCTCCCTGCTTTTTCCTCATAGTAGCTTTATCTGGTCTGTTCCTGTTTGGCTGTGGCGCCATCCTGGAGAGAAATATCAGCTGTGCTGCTGCCATCAACACCTTTGTTTATAGATGTTGGAGCTTAGCCTGTTTTTCAGTTTAATCCTGTTTCTCTCACTGTGACTAACTGTATGTGCACTCTTTCATCCTCTGGCATGGGATCTGGCTCAGGGCTTGTCTGACTGGTTTTGTGCTTCTTGGAAAGGGCCGCCTGCGGAGCTGGTTTACAGTTACCTTTTTTCATCTCTGCTTCTGTCTCCTTGAACCCTAGTCGGCCTCGGCAGATGGCCGCTCACACTGAGCCTGGTTCTCCTGGAGGTTTCTTCCTGTTAAAAGGGAGTTTTTCCTCTCCACTGTCACTACAAGCATGCTTAGTGTGAGGGATTGCCTTTGATTCAATGAGCCTTAGATAGAAAACTTTGAATCAATTTGACTATGATCTGGTTAATTTGTCTCTGTAAAGTGCTTTGAGATGACATGTGTTGTGAATTAGCACTATATTAATAAATTGAACTGAATTAAACCCAGGAGGAGAATGGAAAAATGAAAATCAGAATTTACAACATAAGCTGGTAAGTCTCTGGAGAACACAAAGAGGCTGAGAGCAGAGAATTCACAGGAGAAAGAAGAAAAGTGAAGAAAATTACAGGCTTATAACTGCCAGTGGTGGTTAGAGACATGAGAACAGAGGAATCACAGGGAAATTAATGCAGGAGAGAACTACGGCAACAGGAGATTATAACTAATCACAATCTAATTACATTAAAGTAGAGCAAAGGCAGGAGCTGGGACACCATACAAAATAAAATATTACCTGAAACACACCTTTTAACATACCTGAGCTGCTTTTGCTCATTTATAAACAAATAGAGGGGCTGTTGTCCAACAAAGGTGTAAGTTTTTATCAATATAATTTAAAAGATGCTGCTGGTTCTGCATTAAACAGGACACTAAGGTAGGACCTTACTTATCCAGACACATTTAATTTTTTTTTTTAAGTATTGTATTTTCAAAAGAGTCCTGATTATTATTCACACTTTGTAACCCAACGCCAGGCAGGTCACACAAAACATGTCATCACTACACCATCATCACCCTCTCAACCTGTAGAGCTGGCCATGTGAGTCAGCCGATGGGTGGCTGGGACTGCCTCGCTTGGCAAGTCAGAGATCTAACAAAGGCTCTCTGACTTCTACCCCACCTAAATCATGGAAGCTTTCACAAACCACAGAGACAGTAACAAGATGTGCCTTGGTCCCGCCTTCATGCATTTCTTAAAGGGACTAGATATGATTCAAAACTGAAACTCCATAAAAACACAGCAGCCAGTTTTTATTACTTTATGGTGTGTTCAGAAATCAGATTTTACACCTTTCCAATCAGATTTTAACTACCAGTCATAGGTTGCATGCCAATCAAACCTCAGCATGTGGTTATATATTACATATATTATATATCCATCCATACATTTTCTGTCATGCTTTATCCCAGCTGGGGTTGCCAGGGGTGCTGGTGTCTATCTCAAGCTGTCAATGGGCGAGAGGCGGGGGGGCACCCTGGACAGGTCACCAGTCCATCGCAGGGCAACACA